GAGCCTTGAAGACACTTAGGGATTCTCTGAGACAGAGGTGAAGAGGGAGAGCGCTCCAGACATCAGGGCCAGCCAGGGCAAAGGCGCAGGGGCCAGACATGGCACAGGAAGATATGGAGGGGGAGGGTCATGTCTCACATAGGTGGTTGAGAGCATGCTCAGCTACACCCTGCCTTACTCCTGAAACCACCAGGTAGCCTGGCAGTCAGCTGCTTACTGTCGATGAGTCATTTAGTTGTATCTGTAACCCCATCTGGGATTTCCTTGGCAGAGATACCGGAGCGGTTTGCCCTTTCCTTCTCATTTTACAGATGAGGAAACTGAGGCAAACAAGTCTAAGTGGCTTGCCCAGGGTCACACAGCTGGTCAGTGTCTGAGGCTGATTTGAACTCGGGTCCTCCTGACTCCAGGCCTGGCACTCTGTCCACTGAGCCACCCAGCTGCCCAGCTGCTAACATACTAGACTGCAAGGAAGGATAGGGAAGGAGAGTATGTGGGTGTGGGTGCGGCATGCGAGCGTGTAGTGGGTACGGTATGTGAGTGTATAGGTGTGTGTATGTATGTGGGTGTGTGTGGGAGGTGTGTGTATGAGTTGGGGGGTTTAAGTGTGTATGGATGTGTGAATGGATGTGTAGGTGTGTGTATGTATGAGGGGGGTGAGGGTGTGTATGTATGTGGGTGTGGGTGTGTTTATGTGTGGGTGTGTGTAGAAGGTGTGTGTGAGTGTGTATATGTGTGTGGGGGAGGTGTGTGTATGAGTTGGGGGGGATTGAGCGTGTGTGTGTGTGAACGTATGTGGAGGTGTGTGTATGTATGTGGGGGGTGTATGTGTGGGGGTGAGTGTGTGTATGTATGTGTGAATGTCGGGGGGGAGGTGTATGAGTTGGGGGGGATTGAGTGTGTGTGTGAACGTATGTGGAGGTGTGTGTATGTTATGTGGGGGGTGGGGGGGGTAGGGGTGGGGGTGAGTGTGTGTATGTATGTGTGAATGTCGGGGGGGAGGTGTATGAGTTGGGGGGGATTGAGTGTGTGTGTGAACGTATGTGGAGGTGTGTGTATGTATGTGGGGGGTGGGGGGTGTATGTGTGGGGGTGAGTGTGTGTATGTATGTGTGAGTGGGGGGGGAGGTGTGTGTATGAGTTGGGGGGGTTTGAGCATGTATGGATGTGTGAATGGATGTATAGGTGTGTGTATGTATGTGGGGGGGTGAGGGTGTGTATGTATGTGGGTGTGGGTGTGTGTGGAAGGTGTGTGTGAGTGTGTATATGTGTGTGGGGGAGGTGTGTGTATGAGTTGGGGGATTGAGTGTGTGTGTGTGAACGTACGTGGAGGTGTGTGTATGTATGTGGGGGGGGGGGAGGTGTGTGTATGAATTGGGGAGCGGTTTGAGTGTGTATGTGTGTGTGTGTGAGTGACCTCTGCGGGCAGGAGGTCACCTGGGAGGATCTGGCAGCTGCGCTCCTCCCTTTTCCTTTGGGCTGAGGGAGATCTCCAGGCCATGCTGCACTGGTCTTCGGGCCTCCAAGAGGTCTGCAAGAGCCCTACTGTGTGGACTTTGGCGGCTCTTCAGGGCAAGGCACCCAGTGAGGATGCTTGACAGGACAATGCCTGAGCCTCCCCAGATCCCCAAGGAGCTTTCCAGAGTTGGGGACAGACAGCCAGGCCAAAGGCACGAGAGGATTCCCCTAACCCTGCTTCTGGGTGTGCCGAGGGTGGGGCTGAGCTGGATCCCCGAAGCTGCTGTGAGCTCCTCCCCAATTAGGTCACTTCCAGGGACATGGCTCTGGCCTCAGGCTTAAGGGCAGGAGTGTGCAGAGGCTCCTGGCAGGCCATTTCATCCTCTGACCCGAGCAGTGAGGACGCCATGCCGCACTCTGTCCTCCCACCTCAGCCTCTCCTCTTCGGAGTTTGCACGGAAGCTAATCTTTGCCATGGTGACCCACTGCCCAAAGGGTCCTGCAGAAAGGACTGAGAAAGGCCAGGCGATCAGGACTTGTGAGTTGTCAGAGGTGACAGGCGACGCTCTGCTCAGCAGCTCCCCAAAGTGTTTCATGTTTTCAGCTTTTAAGTGTTTATTTCCCAGGAGAGTATAATAGGAATGTAAGGTCACTGTTTCATGTTTTAATTATTTGTCACTGCATGCTTGGAAATTTTCTGTACTCATCCAGAGTCCCCAGTCTGCTGAACTGGAGCCTAGGCAGACAACTTCATGAAACATAAATAGGGGTTGGGCCCCATGGGCCAGTTACCACAATGTCAGAAGTGTGTGTGTGTGTGTGTGTGTGTGTGTGTGTGTGTGTGTGTGTGTGTGTAAGAAATAAATAGCTGTCCAATATCTGATCCACTTTGAGCATTGAGTTCCTCTCTAGAAAGAACCCTGGCAATCACCAGGAGGTGAGAAGTGGGGGTTGAGATGGAACTCTAGACA